ATAATTGTCTGATTAAATATAAGAATTTGACTCAAATGATAATGCACACTTTTAGAAAAAATGGCTTTAAGGTAAAAATGACCATAAAAGGTAAAAATCTATTTAAACTTATTGGAAAAGATTAATTTCTTGTCACTGCTTTGAACTGACCACCACACAGAATATGAATATTAAAAATTTTAGGAGTCAGCTGTCCACTGTAGTCCTTAAGATATCAGCACAGTAACACTCTTTTTTTCAAATTATTGTTATCGATAAAATCCCAGAAAATATCGATATAATTTTTTGTCAATATCGCACACCCCTAACACACACATACATATATATGCTTAATAATTATAATATACAATAAATCAAACAGATAAGATGTACATTAAATTATCACTGTATTTTTTATATATAAAAAACATACATGTTAGAATTACATAAAATGTTTATTATATATTTTAATGGCCTGGTTTCACAGACAGGGCTTAGACTAAGCCAGGATTAAGTGAAACTGGGGGAATATATCTCAGTTATTAAATATCGTTAATATATTTATAATTTAACATTTTATTTTTTCATCATGATAAACACACCAAATTATTATTAGGATACTTTTTTATATGTAGAAATTATACACAATTGCAAGATGCACAAAAATTGCTGAAATATTTATACTCATTCATTACTATATTTTACTATGACTATTACTATAATGTTTGTTAAGACCCAATATCTAAAAGGGCATTAAGATATCTTTAATACTTCCTGAGTTACAGGCATGCAAAACTTGAAAAGTGTTCCCCATTTTTGAATGGTCACCATTGGCACATAATGCAACAAAGATAGCTAAAGTCAACAGAATTTACTGATGATGCTGCCATCTTTCTGAAGTCATTTTTACCCCCCTGTAATTTGGCTCTGAATCTCAGGTGAAAATTGCCATTTTGACCCCTCTCTACAAAATAGTGGAATACTCAATAAATATTCATCCATGGGATTTCATATTTTGGCTTTCATCACTATACATGTTCATCTTTTTTCAGAAAAAAATATTAGCAAAATCTAAAATTTGAGCCGGGGAAGTTTCTGAAACTTGGTTGATTTGACACAGAATGACCCAGTAGTTAACGACTCGCCTCCTTTTCTATTTGAGCGGATCATTTGTTGTATTTCTCTCTCACCTCTTGAAGCTCCAGTTCAATGATCTGCTCTTTGAAGGAATACGCCTTATTCTCTCTTTTCATGTTGCCCTTCTTTGTGCTCTCCTGCTGAGCGCTGCCAAAAACAAGACAACAACGTTTACAACAAACTACCTGATCCATGTGATTCTCGTTCATTCATCTCTATCTTGTTCAGTTGACTTTACCTCATAATGATGCTCCTGTCGTAAAGTTCTCCCTCCGGCGTTTGCATGATGGCATACTCCTGACACGTCACCTGCCTCAGCGCCGGATTGGACAAGCGCTGGGTCACGTGATCCATGACACGCGGCAGCAGTCTGGTGGGAGACAGAAGCGACAGAGAACCGACAGCATTCTGAACGGCCTACGGCGAGAGAGAGAGAGAGACACAATGTCAACCAGAAACCCAACATAAATCTGTCCGAACCTGAAATTTGTGTGTCCTACTATATCAGTCTGACAACACAAAATGACTAGAGGAGTAACAATACAAGCTGTCAAGTTTAAATGATCAAAATGAAAAAGGTTAGGGATGCACCGAAATATCAGCTGCCAAAAATTGTATTTTTGGTTTTTTCCTATGTAGTAAACTCCTAGTAGTAAGTTCCTGTTTGCAGTAGCGCTACTGTGCTGTAACATGCTGTAGTATGGCGTAAAATGACACTCTGCTCACATGCTCTGATAATAATAGCTTTGTAGGACTATCTGTTCAATCTGATTCTGTTGCATAGAACTGAATTAAAATAATATATTGATATTTAATATGAATATATTTCCGGTCCAATTTTATCGTTTTACTTTCAATAAAAGTGTGGTTATTTTATTGGCTTGCATTTTTCTAAATTCAGTATCATTAACATTATTGAGTTCAATTAAAAAGTCTTACAAAATTATTTTTATAAAATAATAAGTAATTATTAAAAAGCATTTTCGGTTTCGGTTTTCAGCCAAGTGCATCCAGAATTTTCGGTTTCGGCCCAGAATTTTTATTTTGGTGCATCCCTAAAAAAAGGTAATTGCAACTTTTTAATCACAAAATTCTGATTTTTTCCTCACAATCCTGAGAAAAAAAGTCTCAATTGTTAGGTATAAACAGAATCTGACTGATGCGCTCACAATTCGAAGTTTTTCTCAGAATGATCAGTTTACATCAGTAACAATTCTGTTTTTTTTGTTTGTTCCCATCATGCAATAAAAGATAAAAAAGGAAACTGTGACTTTCTCACAAATCAGACTTCTTCTCTGAGAAAAAAAGAAACAGAATTGTGAGATGTAAATTCAGAATTACAGGATATCAACTTGAGGTTTGAGAAAAAAAACTCAGAATTGCAGATATAAACTCAGAATTGTGGGATATAAACTTGAACTCAGAGGGCGGAAAAAAAGTACGAATTACGAGATGTAAACTTGCAATTTCACGTTTATATCTCCCAAATCTATATTAATATCTTGCAATTCTGAATTTTCATGTTGTAATTCTGCATTTATATTTCACATTTCTGACTTTTTTTCTCAGAATTTTTGTTTACATCTTGAGATTCTGGCTTTATATCTCACAATTCAGACTTTTGTCATAATTTTGAGTAATAACTCCCCATTGTGAGGAAAAAAAAGTCTGAATCGTGAGATAAAAAGTCACAATTACCTTTTTTATTTTGAACCCCATGGTGGAAACAAGCTTCCATAGATATATCATAAACGGTTAACAAAAAGTACTGATCATTAACCAGAATAGAAAAATTCATGATTCTGCTTAGCTAAAAATACAGATATACTGTGCATTTAAAATATTTACAGTATTGCATTTTATTAAATAATGTATTTTAGTTAATCAATATAATTACTATTAAATCAATCTAATATTTAATTAAACATGAAAGCTCAAAAGTATGAGCTTCCGGGTTTACCATATTTGATGCGCTCTTTGAAAGTGCATGAAAAAATTTAACTAACAACTAAATTAAATCCTAAACTTTCATTTTTGGGTGAACTGTCCATTGCACATATTGTTGCATTTTTGTATAACGATATATATTTACAGAGCTAAAAAAACAGCTGGATTATTAAACGCAGTCAGTCAGACCTGATTGTCTGTGTTGGCTTCTAGCAGGCGAGGCAGAATCATCTCCAGGTGTTTGTCGATGAATTCAGCAGCGTCCAGCTTCATCGTGGAGAGCAGAGAAGGCCACATCTCAGACCTGACGGCCACTGAAAGAGAAAGAGCCCGATTAACACAGGATTCAGCAACAGCTACTGGAATACTCCTGCAAGGACGCCATCAGAGAGACGGACCGATGGACGGATGATGGATAACGATGAGAATATCCAGGGCCAGTTTCTCAGTCTCCGCCGGGTCGTTCCACTGGGCCGCCACAGAGCAGATCACGCTCAGAGCGTCCAGCAGGATCCGCGGGGCGACATAAGAGCGGCCGATCTCTGTAAGCTCGCCCGTCTCCATATAAACGACATCTGACGGCAGAATCTGATTCAAGAGACAGAAAAATGAGCAAATTCTGAACACATCAGTGTGAAGTGGCCAATTCCTCGTCAGTCCCTCACCTTGTGTTTGTTGATGACGACACGCAGTTCTCCCAGAAGGCCGTGGGCCAGACTGGAGCCGCCCAGTGAGGACAGGAGTTTCTTCACGGCCTGCTGAGCACGCTTACGCACACGCCACAGACGGGACAGCAGCGCCATCACTGTGGCCTGATGGTACATCCTGAGGACAGCAGACAAGCGTTTGAGTCACATGATCACTTCTGCATACATGAAGTAAAGATTTTGCACTATTGTTGAAAGTCAAAATTGACCCCCCTATTTACTTTCTTAATAAATATTACTGGTCTTTTTGCGGAAAACATAAGATTATACATTATTGTATACAAACATGTATGTTTTCTTAATATATATGTTTACATTTAGTCATTTAGCAAACGCTTTTATCCAAAGTGACTTACAAATGAGGACAACAGAAGCAATCAAACCAAACAAAAGAGCAACAATATATTTTGAGTCTAACGCAGTACACGTAGCAAGCTTTTTTTTCTTTTTCTTTTTTGAAAAGTAGATAGAATAGAAATTGAATAGCGTGCTAGTGTTAGAGGGTCAGGTGTTTTAGAATAAATAAAAAAAGGAAGTAGATAGAATAGAAATAGAATAGAGAGGGAGTGTTAGAGGGGCAAGATTTTTATATATAACAAATAAAAGAAAGTAAGTAGATAGAATAGAAATAGAATGGAGTGCTAGTTTTAAAGGGGTCAAATGTTTTATAATAAATAAAAAAGCAAGAAGATAAAATAGAAATTGAATAGAGCGTGCTATTGTTAGGGGGTCAAGTTTTTTATAATAAATAAAAAGAACAGCAGATATAATAGAAATAGAATAAAGAATGCTAGTGTTAAGAGGAACAAGTATGTTGTAATGAAATAAAGTAGAAAGAATAGAAATAGAATAAAGAGTGCAAGTGCTAGAGAGTCAAGTTTTTTATACATATATTAAATAAAAGAAAACAAGTAGATAGAATAGAAATAGCATAACGAATGCTAGTGTTAGAGGGTCAAGTTTCAAATATTTCATTAAAATGCTAATTTGCTGTTTCTGAACTTTATTGTTGCTTTAATAACATTATTATACATCTCTCTGGAATATTTTATTGTGATTGCCAGCATTGTTACTGTTAACTAAAATTGAACTATTAAAATAGTTTCATTAATAGAAATAAAACTGAAATAAAATATAAATATTATACGAAAATCTTAAAATTAAAACAACAAAACAGTAAGTGGCCTCAGTGAATTCTTAAACTCAAAACTCTTTTCGGGTGACACAAGATCCCATTAAGCTTTAGTTTGCATATCATAGTCAACTTTTAGTGATCCTAGTGATGAAATAAACTAACAAACAAACAAATAATTAAATAAAAGTGTGTGTGAATTAGAACACAGGAAATAATAAGGAATTCCTAAATTTAATGAAAAATTATATTCTATGCAAAACATTCCAGGAGAAATGGCAGCGACTCACTGAGACTTGCTGTTGTTGAGTCTTTGTGGCTGATCCAGGAACAGTCTTTCACACAGCAGCAGGACGGTGCACAGAGCTGTGGGTACAGGACAGGATTAACATTACTTCAATTACTAAAACTGAAATATGAATAATATAAAGCTAAACAGAAATATATATATATATATAAACAATAATGACTCATAATAAAATTACTAAAATTAAAATGAAAACTAAAAATATAAAAATAAAAGCTGATTAATATTAATCAATAATTGAATAATATATAAATGACACTAAAATTATGCTGGTATTTATAGGTTTTACTAGACCCTTTCATCTCAGTCTCCTCCAAACATCAGCGTGGGAAAAATGGTTAAAATCTTTAAAGTTTGTTATATTAAAGGGACAGTTCACCCAGAAATGAAAATTCTGTCATAATTTACTCACCCTTATGTTGTTCCAAACCCGCATGAGTTTCTTTCTTCATTTGAACACAAAAGAAGATATTTTGAAGAATGTCGGTAACGTCCATAGAATCGTTTCCATACTATTAAAGTCAATGGCTACCGTCAACAATCTTGTCCTTCTTTTGTGTTCAACAGAAAAAAGAAACTCATACAGGTTTGGAATAACTTGAGGGTGAGTAAATGATGACAGACATTTCATTTTGGGGTGAACTGTCCCTTTTTTCCCCTCAAACGTTTATGGCAAAAAATATAGGCCTACTGGATCTATTGGATAACTGGAGAGTTTCTGACCTTCTTCGCTGGCCTGAGAGAGGAACTTCTCGGTAGTGAACAGAGGTTTCTTTTCATCCAGTATCAGGTTCCAGAAGGACGCCAGCTTCGCTTCTGAAGACAGAGGAACATGAAGATAAACGTCTCCAGCATGAGACACAGGAGGACGCTCTCAGTCTCAGTGTGAACACTCACCGGGCACAGAGTCCAGCACAGACAGCCGACAGAGCAGCACAGAGGCGGCCACGCCTTCAGACAGCAGAGCATGCTGGGTATTCTGGGCAGCAGCTTTCTCCACAGTCTGGATGAGGAGAGGCAGGAAGTCCACCGCCTGATTGAGAGCGTCGCCTGAACAGAGACAAACACTGTTCATTCTGACTAAACATCAGCAGCAGGAGTATAAAGCTGAAACGTCCCAGCAGCCCAACTGACCTTTGAAAGCTCCGATCATGGCCTGGAGATACGCGTGACGCACAAGGGACGTGGAGGTCTTGAGGGTGAAGGCTTTTTTAAACCATTCTCTCAACTCTGAGGTCACGTCCACCGTCAAACGGCTCGTCCACTGAGATAAAACACACACCGCATGCACCAGCGTCCCCTCATGGACTACAAACACACACGAGGAGAGAGAGAAACAATCGGCAGATATTAGGTTTTTATGCATGTTTCAGAAATGTAAGACCATTTAAGACTATTACAAATTTAATTTCAAATTTACAAATTTAATATACATTTTGCAACAAGTAAAAAATTATATTAAGTCATTACATACTTAATATTTAAAGTTATGATTTATTTGTCAATATTTGACCCTAAATATTTACTTGAAGTCCTGCCGAAATTGTGAGTTATTAAAATTAATCTTATTTAATATTACATTAATATTTAAGTTATTAAGCATTTAAAAACAACAAATTTGCATGTTAACAGTTCTCTGATGTCGCTAAGTGGTAAAATATTTAATCTTTTTTAGTAAATGTTTTATTTTGATTGTTTATTTAAATTTTTTTAAATTTGACATTTACATTTATGCATTCAGCAGGCACCTTTTTTTTCTAAAAATGGCAAAAAAAAAAAAAAAAAGAGGAACAAAAGACTGTTTAGCAAGCTAGAGAAACTATTTTTTTTAATGCGAGCAATTTGACATAATTATGATTTAATTCATTTTTAGCTCTTCAATAAACAAACCCCCTGCTATTCCTTCACAAAATTCCAATTTATGAAAGCAATCTCAAGCATGAATGAACCGGCATGAAAAATGCATATTAAAAAAGTTATTTAAAAAAAAAAAAAAACAGTATAAAAAAAAAAAAAACCAAAATTAATTTTACTAGCATAAACTTTCACTTTAAGACGAAAAAATTCAATTTTACATGCTGCAATGGTTGGTCAATAGGTGTACATATTCATGTTTATCAACAAAATTCAGTTCCAAAAATGTGTGAGATATGGGGAAAGGATTAAATATATTTTACAAAAGTTTTTTTTGACACTAATATAACTTCATAGATAATTTAACAAAAATATTTTTGACACGTACTGGTATGCCACACATAACCGGCTCCAAAATGACCTGAACACGAAACGTGTATCATTTTTTAAAATGGTTATGGCTCTTAAAAAAAAAAAAAAAAAACCGATTCCTGTTTGAAAAACACACATAAACCATGCTCAATATGACAGCAGGCAGTTACATGAACGCAAAAGACTCATGCAGAAGTGAGAATTAGGTTTGGGAGCTTTGCTGGAGGGAATGATTTTTAAACAAAGTGTGTCTTTGTATTTAAAAAAGTGGAATGGACAAAACGTGGGGTCTTGATGAAGCATGTTTTTTAAAAGTTGAATGTTTTAACTTCTAAAAATGCAGCGTTCATCTGTTGCGCTCATATCTTGCATCTTTTGCAAAGATGTAGTGCAAGTTTACATAGGAAAATAATTAAAAAGCAGTGCAGTCGAATGCAAAAACATATTTTGTTATGCAAATTAGCAGTGGTAAAAGACTTTCTCTCAAGACTCATCCTTGTACACTCTGATTGTCTCTAAATAAAAAAGACAAACGGTATGTAAAACCATGTATTTAGTGTACTGCCCAAACAGGCCTACTGAGCATATGAGAGACAGAAAGACAAAATATTCACCTGACAGAACGCTCATCTTCTGGGCCACAACAGTGAGCTTCCCCTCTGAGCCTGTGCAAAACAGAACCCAAAATGAGCTAAATCCTGCTTTAAAGAGTGAGCCGGTCCTGGTTATGTGTACGAGATCACTTGCATTCCTAAACCAATACTTTTTCATGATTTTTCCCATGACTTTCCAGCAATTAAAGAACTCAAAATGAACAATTTGACTGAGCATGCATGTCTGGTTTCAAACCTTATAATTCATTTATTCAAATGCTTATTATTGTACATTTCCTTTGACACGCTCGGTTGGGCTGTAAAAGACAATTAATACTCTGCACTGACACTGCCAGTGAACTCAATTGAGCTGAATTACGACACTATTGCCTTCTGTAGCATTGCTTATAGCTGATTTGACCTCTTTTCATAACTGATTAACTTTACATGTACACTGTTATGTACCTGTTTATTAATGTTAAGCTGCTTTGAAACAATCTGTATTGCTTAATGCATTATACATATGAAATGACGAAGCTGGTTTAACCCTCATAATGCATTCAAAATCTGCATATGATTTCTGTATTCTGAATTGCTGTTTTATAAAACAGTCATAACATTTTGAAAAATTTTTTTTGAAAAATATCTAACAATTAAAACCATATTGCATCTGATTAACAACTAACTAGATTACCTACAACGCTAACATTAATGAGTGAATGTGAAAAAATTCAAGGTTTTGAATGTTACTATGTTATTACTGTTATTAGCCCTTTTTTAGTAATTAAAAAAATTGAGAAATTATTTGAAATGTAGTATTACACATGAACAACGTAAAAAAACAAAAAAAATTATATATATGTGTATTTTAAGGGTCTTAAAGCACTTGCAAAATTCCCTTACTACACGCTATTTTGTTTTTAGAAATGTTTATGTATTTTTTCCGTGTCTAAATGGACCTGAATGTGTTATGAGGGTTAAAACAAGTTTTACTCCACACACTAATATCTCAAACACCAATAACTAGCCAATATAAGCAATAAAGCAGAATAAAGCTATACATTTGTGACCCTGCCTGTGAAAACCCAGCTAAAGTCATTTTTTTGTGATTTACTGTTTTCTACATAAAATCATCCTTCATAAAGATGTAGAACATTTTGTGAAAATATAACCTTTACATCTTTAATATTGACTGAGTAAGGCCATGTCAAAGATTGAAACCATAGTGAGATTAATGGTTGAAATCAAACTTTGATGCTTGTTATCTATTTTGTTAATTAGATTTTGAGACTTTAGCCTGGATTTCACAGACAGGGTCACATTTTTATATTCACAACTGAGTTTGCATGCTATTTCCAGTAATGAAAAGCCATGCCATGAAAGCATCCACTGACCTCCGAGGATGCCGAAGAGGTGTTTGACGAGGTCCTGGACGGCGCTGGGGTCGCTGCACTGCTGGGCCAGATTCTGGAGGGCCGTCACCGCCTGCTCCATGAGCTCTGGGTTATTGGCCTTCAGCTGACCTGAAACACACGAAAAGCACATCAAACCTGCACACGACACCTCAGACGAACATCAATCATACTGACGAGCACTCACTGGAGATGCCCTTCCCGATGTCCAGCGCGTACGGACTCAGATCAAGAGTGAGAGATGCCAGCATGCAGGAGATCGCTGGAGGAAACACCGACAACAGAGGTGGAAACATGACTAAAACATCATATTTTCAGGATTCTGGATTGTTGAGAGATTACAGATTGGTGTATACAGTAATAAGTAATCGCTTGTTCATTCTTGGTAGAGAATAAGATTAACAATTTTAAGTAAATAAATAAATAAATAAATATTCCTGCAATTGAATCTGTATTTTTTTATTTGAGCAGTTCTAGAAACAAAAGCAATCATCAGTGGATTGTCAGAAATATTATTTTTTTGCCAAGTAAATAAAAATAAAATAAAAATTAACTGAAATAATATATATATATATATACATACATACATACATACACACACACACACACACACAGTATATATATATATATATATATA